GGACTAGGTGCGTTCCAATAAGTCTTCCTACCAATATGACTATGTTGCGAAAACAAGGTCAAACGACTTCTATAAAGTGATTTGGTTAGTTACGGCCATATATCAACGTCGAAGCCTGTGAGTGTGTCTGTCTCTGTTTCTGTATGTGCCTGTTTATGTTAGCTTATACACGAAACCAGTAGTGATGGCTCAAAGTAATTAGGACAGCAAAAGCAACTTCTGTTCTTGGCTATCAAGGTTTGATGACCACTTTCGCCTCCTTTTGCTGTTGGTCTTAATGCAAGAGAAAAAGAGTGAACACAACAGTTAATATATTAAAACTAAGATAATGCTTCATTTTATTTAGTATCAGTATATTTAGCTGGATAGTTTTGAGCTGAGCTCTTTCTGCAACTTGGTCGGAGCGACAGAGAAACCTTGTGGAACATCCCTAGTCCTACACCCTCTGCCAATACAGGTACGTTCCGCAAGGTCTCTCTCTCGCTCTGACCATGTTGTGAAAACTGGACTAAAGCAACACAACATTTGTGTCTTTTTAAATAATCATATAAAATTGTCTTAGTTGACATATAGTTCTACCAAATCTACCCGCACCTCGATTCACCTGGTCAACTGTGCATTCAATTCCAGGATCTCTAAGGAAAATGATGTTATTCTAATATTTATTCTCTTCTCTTTTTCTCTTTTTGCATTGTTCTATTTAAAGTACCCTCTGCAAAGTCGTATCCCGTAACATGGTGACGCTACACTTAAATCAGATGAGAAAGTTCTGGCAGCAACCATGCTAAATATCGTAAAGTTTGAACAACTGATTCGACTTTTCCTTCGACCTTCTGAACTTAGTCGTGTTGTCAGGGCAACCTAGTTGGACTTGCCTTGCCTGAAGTCCTCTTTAATAGCCATTTTGATAATTCCCAGCGTCGTAACATGGATTCGATAGATTTCTAAACGTATCGCCATTCTTAGCACGAAGACACAAATCGTAAAAGAGACAAGTGTAGTCAATCCCTTGGCTCATCCTCTGTCGAACAACTGTGTCGTCGCTTATCCTTCTGTTCTGGTATATTGTGCAACCGCTTGGCAGAAAGTTGGGTAAGGGAAGATATGTAGCTTGGTGCTAATAAGGGGGGGACTTACTGACGACGTCGACTACTGTGTCAGCGAGACGTCTGGGCATGTACCAAATCCACGGTCAGGAGCTGGGAATTATCATAACTAATATAGCAGAGGAGTTCGAACAAGGTACGTTCAACTAGGTCGCCCTGACAACATGAAAAGTTGCAAAACCGAGATCAAGCCACTTTTTACACAGCGAAACGAGACAGATCAAAACAGAAGCCGCATCAGCTTAGTTCTCATAGCTACGAATAAAGAAGATAAACAAACGCATGATTAAAGGGAATAAACTCAGCTAAAGATAGTCAAATAAATCAAATCTTAAATATATCTCGCAGAATCTAGTCGGATATTAAAGGCGCTATCGAGGTTGTTTACACGGGTAACCATGATAATGTAAATAAAAAAATACGAGTGAAATGGAGGAGAGTAAAAACTCAGCAGGGATTGGTCGGATTGATTATTGGATGCATAGGGTCGAGGCAGTTATACATGTGATAAACAGACCTTAATTTACGCCTAATTAGTGCTTCTGATAAACGAGGCAAATTAGGCCACATTTACTTTTCACAACTTTGTTAAGGGCAAGGCTGAGTGAAATTCAATGGCAAAGCTCAACTATATGTCTTTAATCGAAGGAATAAAGACCAAGATGGTGTGGCCTTTTGTGTGGTCGCAGTCTCCTTTCGTTGAATAGAAGTTGTTTGACCTGTTTCTATCCATAATACCAAGTCTATGACTTCCCATGCCCTAGTCTCTTGTGTGCCAACCCCCAAAT